TTCTTGGTATGGTGTGCACTTCTCCTTCTAATCCAGATGATTTTTAAAAAGTCCCAGACTGCATCTTTTATTTCATCTTTAAATACTTTAGCATGAATCTCCACATAGATAGCTCTTCTTTTTATGTTTGATTTTAGTTCAGTTTAATTGAGTTTTTCTAATTTTTATTATGTTAGCATAAAATTTACCAACTTAACAATTTTTAAGTGTACAGTTTTGTGATATTAAGTACACTTATAATGTGTAAGCATCACCACCGTCTATCTCTATATCCCTTTTCCTTCCACACCTATTAAATAATAACTCCTCACACCACTCCCATCCCCTGGAAACCACACTTTTGGTGACTTTTGAGTACTTTTGATGACTCTAAGTACCTCATATTGATGGAATCCTACAGCATATGTCTTTATGTGAGTAGCTTATTTCGCTTAGAATAATGTCCTCAAGGTCCATCCATGCTGTGGCCTATATCAGAATTCCCTTCCCTTTTTAAGGCTGGGCAATACTCCATTGAATGTAGATAGCACATTTTGCTTATCCATTCATCCGCAGACACTTGGGATGCTTTCACATTTCAACTATTATGAATAATACTGCTATGAACATGGCATGCAAATATCTCTTCAAGACCCTGTTTTCAACTCCATTTGGTATATATCCAGAAGTGGAATTTCTGGACCATATGGTAATTCTATTTTTAATTATTTGAGGAACTGCCATACTGTTTTCCAAAGCGACTGAACCATTTTTCATTCCCACCAGCAGTGCACAAGGATTCCAGTTTTTTCACATCCTCACCAACACTTGTTATTTTCTGTTTTTTTAAAAAAACAGTAGCCATCCCAGTGAGTATGAGGTCATCTCTCATATGCAGTTTTGATTTTCATTTCCCATTATTAGTGATGTTGAGCATCTTTTCATGGGCTTATTGGCCATCTGTATATTGTCTTTGGAGAAATGTCTATTTAAGTCCTTTGCCAATTTTTGAATCAGATTTTGCTGTTGTTGAGTTTTAGCCATTCTCTGTATATCCTGGGTATTAATTCCTTATTAGATACATGATTTGCAAATGTTTTCTCCCATTCTGTGGCTTACTTTCTTACTCTGTTGATATTGTCTATTGATGCACAAAAATTTCTAAATTTTTATGAAGTCCAACTTGTTTTTTCTTTTGTTGCCTGTGCTTTTGGTGTCACGTCCAGGAGATCACTGACAAGTCCAATGTCATGAAGCTTTTGCCCTGTTTTCTTCTAAGAGTTTTATGGTTTTAGATTTTACATTTAGGTGACTGATTTATTTGGGATTGGTTTTTGAATATGGTATTAGGTAAGGGTTCAACTTCATTCTTTTGCATGTAGATATCCAATTTTTTAGCACCATTTGTTGATAAAAATGTCCTTTCCCTATTGAATGGTGTTGGCACCCTTGACAAAAATCATTTGATTGTATAAGCAAGTGTTTATTTCTGGGCTCTCTATTTTATTCACTTGGTCCATATATGTGTATTTATGCCATATCACACTGTTTTGATTCTAGTGCCATTGTAGTAAGTCTTAAAATCAGGAGGTGTGAGTACTCCTACTTTGTTCTAGTCCAGCCTGTGCTCCTTGAGATTCCATGTGAATGTTAGAATGGGTTTTTCTGTTTCTGCAGACAACATTGTTGGGATTTTGCTACTGATCACACTGAATCTATCGATAACTTTGGGTAGTATTGACATCCTAGCAATATCAAGGTTCCCAATGCATGAATATGGAATCTCTTCCCATTTGTTCATGTCTTCCTTAATTTCTTTCAGCAGTTTTTTTTTTTTTTTTTTTTTTTTTTTTTTTTGAGATGGAGTCTTGCTCTGTCACCCAGGCTGGAGTGCAGTGGCATGATCTCAGCTCACTGCAACCTCTGCCTCCTGTGTTCAAGAAATTCTTCTGCCTCAGCCTCATCAGTCTAATTTTTGTATTTTTAGTAGAGATAGGGTTTCACCATGATGTTGGCCAGGCTGGTTTCGAAATCCTGATCTCGAGTGATCCGCCCACTTTAGCCTCCCAAAGAGCTGGGATTACAGGCATGACCCACCACCCCCTGCCTCGGCAATGTTTTGATGACTTCATTGTACCAGTCTTTCACCTCATTGGTTCAATTAATTCTGAAGTATTGTGTTCTTTTTGATGCCATTGTAAATGAATTTTAAAAATTTCTTTTCAGATTCTTCATTGTTAGTGTATAGAAATGCAGCTGATTTTTGTGCATTAACATTTATCCTGCTACTTTGCTCACTTCATTTATTAGTTCTAACAGATTTTTTGTGGAATCTTTAGGGTTTTCTATATATGAGATCATACTTCTTCCTTTCCAATTAGGTGCCTTTTATTTTTTGTTCTTGCCTAATTTCTCTGGCTACAACTTTTAGTACAGTGTTCAATAAAAGTGGGAAAAGTGAGCATCTTTGCCTTGTTCTTGATCTTATGGGTGCTTTCACCATTGAGTATGATGTTCACTGTGGATTTCTTCAAATATAGCTTTTATTTTGTTGAGGTAATTTCTTTCTATTCCTAGTTTGTTTCATGTTTTTATCATGAAAGAGAAAAGCATCAATGCTTTTCCAGAAATGCTTAGTAGAAAAGCATTAAATTCTTTTTCTATGTCAGTTGAGATAATCGTATATCTTTGTCTTCCGTTCTGTTAATGTGGCGTATTACAGTGATTGATTTTCATAATTTTAACCCTCCTTGCATTCCAGAAATAAATCTCACTTGATCATGGTATATGATTCCTTTAATATGCCACTTAATTCAGTTTAGTAGTATTTTTGTTGAGCGTTTTACATCAGTGTTCATAAGGGATATGAGTCTGTAATGTTCCTCTGGTGTCTTGTCTGGCTTTGGTATTGGTAATGGTCACCTCATGGAATGACTTAGGAAGTGTTCTCTCCTCTTCAGTTTTTTTGGAAAAGTTTGAGAAGAACTGGTATTAGTTCTTTAAGTGTTTGCTACAATTCACCACCGAAGCCATTTTGTGAAAAATCTCTTATCTATTGCCATAAAACCCCAGAACTCTTGGACTAAGACGTAAAAAATCATAGAGCTGAAAGGGACCTGAAAGCTTTTCTTGCTGAAGCACCCCATTAATAATTCCACTTTCATAAGCCACTTGCCCACAGTCAGATATTTAGTAGCAAAACTAGGGCTGAACCCCTGGCCTCCTGACTCTTAGTAAAGTGTTCTTTATACTGTGACAGTCTCCAAGTAAAAAGAAAAAAATATATATATATCATAAAATTTGTATAGAATATGTTGCATACCTGCTTTCTGACTTTTATTTTCCTTTCACAATGCCTCAGTTTTCCCATTCACCTGATATTCACCCCAACTTATGGTTAGGTGTGCATGTTAGTAACTCCCCAGGAGAGTTCTTACAATGGTGATAAAGAGACTAAGAACTAGGAACTCAAATGCAAGGCCACAGAGGCCCCTCTTCATCTTGTCCTCTCCTCTAGCTGCCTTCCTCGATAAAGAAGCAGGTGGGGCATGATTGGCCAGTGATGCATTTAAAGCTCTGCCAAGCTCAAAACCAGACTCCAAGTCTTATAAGAAGATGACACGGGGAACTCAGTGGTTGGTGCAGCCCAGAAAGCATTTGGTCAAGAGAAGGGAGCATCTTAGACAGAGCAGAGACTGCTTATGCAGAAATAAAGGGTCAGGCAGGAGGCTTTCATCTCTGTAGCTACTGGTTCTGAATATCATCAACTGAGAAAATTTTTTTTTAAAATCCCACAAAAGTTATAAAGGGAATTGGAGGAACAGTAGCACCGTTCTGGGGCAAGACTCCAGAGTGCATTGGTGCAGAGCCATGTGGATAACCCCAGATGGCAGCCTCATCAGAGGCATTCTCTCTCCTCCCATCAACCCAGTTTCATCTCTGAGTGGATGAACTGAGGCCCAGGGAAACGCTCTAAGCAGGTGGGAGTGGGTACCAGCAAACATGGAAGGAAATGAGTTAATGGGAATTATGAAGCAAAGACAATATATATGACAAACGAGCCTGTGTTCAAAGAGATATCGAAGGATGCGGCAATGACAAAAATAAAATTTCACTAATTTTGATCCCTTTCATTCATACGTATCATAATTTATGATACTCAAAGTTGAAAAAAATTCACTTCAATATGAAAAAAGTTGTTCTGTAAAAAACAGTTTGATACAATTTGAGTACATTTTAAAATTTAGTAAATAATCGATTGTAAAATCAAGCCAACTTGTTCAGCAGGCCAAAACTTGCACTATACACTGTAGCCCAGCACCTCCTCAGCTTTAATGTGCAGACTCATCAGCTAGGATCATGTTAAAATGCAGATTCTGATTTAGTAGATGCAGGTGCTACTCAAGATTCTGCATTTCCAACAAGCTCCCAGCTGGTGCTGATGCTGCCGGTTCTCAGCAAATTCTGAGTGGCAAACTGTAGAGAGCACCCTAAGAGACCAAGCTGTGCCTATCTCAAGATGCCTCAGTAGCAGATTCGTGTTTGGGACTTGACGCCTCAAGATCATCACTAAGTAGGGATTATTGCAATCACATAATTTCCTGCTTGAATGAATAGCCATGTACCTGGGAAGAGCTAATCCCCATTACAGATTTGCAGTTCTGTTTTCCTATGGACTTGTCGGATGCTAATGTGATTGGGTTTACCCGTGGGTTTCAGGATGTCTGCTAGCAATCAAAGGTTCCTCTAGGCTGCAAGGGAGCCAGCTCCTGCAGTCTCCTTCATTTGGAAGCAGAGACTTTATAGAGATTCAGGTAATCAGTTTCTGCTACCTCTGGCTAGCCACCCCGACAGATCCTTTTTAACATTCACTGAATAGGTAGGACTGCATTTTGTCTAACTCTCATAGTTACTATGCGTTTATCAGCTGATTGGTACAGTCTGAAACAATGTGGGTCTGGGTGATTAGCTTGTTTTTAAGTGTGATTCTCTTGTCTCATCTCTGTTTTCTCCTCCTCCAGGAGAAATGGGTTCCCTGAGACAAGTGTGACCTACGTGCCCAGCCCGCCAGCCTGACGCCTAGCCAGAGAGAGAGGACCATGGATGGCATCATTGAACAGAAGAGCATGCTGGTGCACAGTAAAATCAGTGATGCTGGCAAGAGGAATGGCTTAATTAACACCAGAAACTTGATGGCCGAGAGCAGAGATGGTCTGGTGTCTGTTTACCCAGCGCCCCAGTACCAGAGCCACCGGGTGGGGGCCAGCACAGTGCCGGCCAGCCTGGACAGCAGCAGGAGTGAGCCGGTGCAGCAGCTGCTGGACCCCAACACCCTGCAGCAGTCGGTGGAGTCCCGCTACAGGCCCAACATCATCCTCTATTCAGAGGGTGTGCTGCGTTCCTGGGGGGACGGTGTGACCACCGACTGCTGCGAGACCACCTTTATCGAGGACCGATCGCCCACCAAAGACAGCCTCGAGTACCCCGATGGGAAGTTCATCGACCTCTCAGCTGATGACATAAAAATCCATACCCTGTCCTACGATGTGGAGGAGGAGGAGGAGTTCCAGGAGCTGGAGGTTAGAGGATGTGTTTGTCAGAGGCCCTCTAGGAATGTGTGATGGGGATTCTAGGGTGGGCAGGAGCCATGAATGCCTATACACTGTAGCCCAGAAATTAGGGAATGAAACTAGTGTGCAAAAATGCAGAAACCAAAGGCAGTCTTGGTGCCCTTCACTCTTGAATGCTTGTGGAAGATAGAAGGAGAGGAAAGACTTAGATTAACAGAAAGCCAGTGATTCTGGTATGAGATGACCCCAGGTAATGGCTGTCAGATGGGGCTGCAGAAGGCAGTGCTGGTGGGTTCATCAGTTTTCCCTGCTGTCCCTCATCCCATGAGACAGAGAGGTCATTGACAAGAGGAGGGAGGAATGCTTGATCCCAGAGCCACATGAGGCTGGAAATGTATTGGATGGGGGACACTTTGGGAGGTGTTTCTGCTGTCACCTGTGGTTCCTTGACTTTGCATTCCACAGTTACTACTGAGAGATTGTTGATAGAGCTGAACCACGCTGGAAGAAAGTGTAGGTACTGATAGCCTAAAGGGAAGATAAGCTGACTTTTTTAGAGGACTGGAGGGCAGGTGACAGCATTTGAATTACATGCACAGAGATGTGCACATTGCACATTGGATATAGCATGGTAGGCACAGTGGTTGCTGGGAATGTGGCACACTGGCCCCCTAGGGCAGCACTGGGTGACAGGGTGAGAGCAGCTGCTGCAGGCCATGGACTAGCAGTTTGCTGCCCATGCGCTCCAAGACTTTCCGCTGCAGTGAGGCCAGGGATGTTTTCCCAGGACGCGATGTCAGGGAGACTTGGGCCAGGCTTTCCATCAGTTTGGTGGGGGAGGAAACCGCCGAACAGGTCCGACCTTCAGAGGCAGTGTGTGGCCAAAGGGGAAAGGGATGTCTGTTTTTCACTAAGGTAGGTGAGAACATTTTTGTAAGTAGAGAGGAAATGTTCAGAATGGAAAATTGAGGATCGCGGCCGGCGGCTGGGGAGTGGTCTTGGGGAGGCAGGAGCTGTACTCCAAGCATGTATGTGTGAGAGATGGCCTCTCAGAAGAAGTCCACGTGCTGGCCTGGGAGAGAAGAGAAGGGTAGGGTAAGGGAAACTTTCAAGCGCTCTGGGTTGAAGAGGAAGGAAAGGAGGGGTTCGTGTTGGCTGAGTATCAGCACAGCCAGAGAAGCTCTTGGGGTGTGTTGGGGTGTGGGGAGATTGCAGACAGTCTAGAGCAGTGAACTGGGGGAAGTGCCCATTCTAGAAAAGACTTCTGGAGAAACTGCCCAGTTGCAGTATGAGTTCGTGTGAAGATCTGGTCAGACCCAGGGCTCCGTGACTTTCTCCAGCCGTGTGGGACCATCTTTAGCAGGTGAGGCTCTCTTGGCAAGGTGTACTCTGCCTGGAAGGTGGAGGAGGCAGGAGAAAGCAAGAGGGAGGAAGTTTGGAGCCGAATCAGGCCCACAACCATGGGACCCACGCTTGATAGAAAGGCCGGAGAAATTGCAAGGGAGTGACAGGTCAAGGAGACCAGAGGATCAGGATTGGAGACCTCAGTGAGAACCAGGAGCCAAGAGATCCGGCTTTAGTCAGGAGGGAGGATCAGCAATGGAGAGGGAAACTTCGGTGCAGCCCCAGCCAGTGGAGCCTGGGAAGCCCACTGGCAGGGAGTGGAGAGTCGTAGCATGGAAGAGGACCAAGACGTGATGCCTGGGCATCTGCGGAGGTCCTAATGCCCTCTGGTGACACCTGTGAAGGGAGGGTGCTCATGATGCAGCTGTGGAAAGTTGGGAGCATGCTTGGCTTCTGTTCAGAATCCTCTGCCCCTGTCTACTGTTTTGCAAGATCTGAGGGCTTTGCTTACAGCGAAATATAAATAAATACTGCCCGACCCACATGGAGTGGAATTAGGGAAGCGAATGCACGAAAACGCAGCCCCAGGAGTTATGGGAACGGAATACCCCATCAGCTCTGAAGAGGGGCTAGGGCCCTGAGCTCAATGCAGGGTTCAGAAGTCATCACACAGGCAGGAGCCCTCCCCCGGCTATATCTTGAGGATGAGTAAGAGGAGGCTTGAGGGGAGCTGGCAGAGAAATTCTAGTCCAAGAGGACCTGGGGAGCACAGAGGCAGCAGCTCCAGAGATCTGCAGGGAAGAGGAACTGGTCAGAAATGCGGAGGCCTATGGGAAAGACGGGGAGGAGACAGGTTGGAGAGGGAGGGGGTTCCCATCAGCAAGGACCTTATCAGCCACCTAAGGGAGACTGGATTTATGCAGAGTCACAAACTGAGATACGTGTGAGACAGAAGGGACCCACCAAAGGGTCAAGAAGGAGCCCTGGGAGGGGTGGGCCTGGAGCCTGGAGAGCCAGGCCCCACCCAGAGCATCTGTCCCCTCTGCTTCAGGGTCACTGCTGTGCCCCACCACACAGGCCGTGTTGCTGGGGAGCCTGAATAGATTTGTTAGAGTAACCAAGAGCCAGAATGCACCAACATTTAATCCACAAGACAACACAAAGTGAGCAGGATGTCATGTGGAGGACCTGGGAATCGCAGGAGGAAGCCTTGGCACCTGCACATGACCATGCAGGTCCATGGAAGGGTCTCATGCAGAAGGGCTGTGGTCAGATCTTGATCTGTGTTTTCAGGAGCTGCTCTGACCAGGAGTAGGACAAGGATGTAGAGGAGATGGAGGCAAGAGGGGAGGCAGCCTGGGGCTAGGACCAAACCGGATGTGCCCCCTGCCTTTTTTGGGGGGCTTGTCATAAGGGCAGGTGAGAGAATAAGGACAGCATTAGAAATGGTGAAGAAATATCTAAAAGGTGAAATTTGTCGTTAATGGAGATGCGAGGGTAGAAAGGAAGGGATCAGAGATGTTCCCAAGCCCGCAGGGGGCCAAACTGGCTGGCAGAGGATTTTCAGCTTTCTTAAGAGTTTTTGGAAAATCCCCTCCAGGACACAATATGCCCCAGTGATAGAAGGCTTGGGATGGTTGATTGAAACCAACTAGATTGAAAAGGACATTTGAATGTCTCCATCAATTCTTTCTCACCCTTGTGGGTTCCTCCCCACCCCGATTGCATTCATGCACTTCTCTTGAATAACTACACTCTGCCAAGGTCAATGGGAGGAGAGAAGGTGGGAGGGGAACAGGTGGGAGAGGAGCAGGTGGGAGGGGAGCAGGGAGCAGGTGGGAGGGGAGCAGGTGGGAGGGGAGAAGGTGGGAGGAGAGCAGGTGAGCAGCAAATCTTCTTAGTCCTCAGTTAGCCTCCCTCCTGGTACTTCACAATGGACTACATTCAAAAGAATTGTTTATCCTTCTTGAAGACTCACATGGGCTTCTGATGGAGCTTGCACATAAACACAACCAATATTTTAATCCAATTTTTAAAAAATTTATAGTATATCTGAATCCACATTTTTGTCAATCAATTACTGAATCCATTTTATTGCAATGATTTTTCACACAGTGGCTTCAGCAGGTAATAGATGTGGTTTTGGAACCCTGTAAGGGTCTGAAATCTACTCAGAGACAATGTTTTAAAATAAAAGCTAGGAAGTGGGTGGAGGCAGACACAGACTTGTCTGTCTTAGTAGGTCCAAGGCTCTGACAAGTAGTATAGTATACTTCTTGGGAGGTAACTTTCCCACCCAGTCCTGCTCCTCTGATCTAGCAGCAAAAGTGGAAGCCCATCAGAAATAATTCTTTTAATAATACAGTAATAAGAATCTTTAGTCATAATAACGATGCCTACTCTGTATTAATATTTCTAGTGACTTTTGACTATAACGTAAGATGGAGCATGTTGGCATTTATACCTTGGCCACAAAAGGCACTCCTAAAGTAACATCAATGGAACAGCCAGTTGTTTACAAATCGAACTGCCTCTTAGGCACTTTAGTGAGACTTTCTGGTCGACATCCAGGGAGCTCACCTGGATCAAGAAATGGCCCTCCCACAGGCTCTGAGCGGAAGGGATGGAGACACATTACAGCTGCTGTTGCTTCTGTATGTGGCTCAGGATGCTGAGGAGGATTTCAGAGCCTCACCACAGTGGTTAACTTGGTCCCTTTTCTCTGAAAACAAAGATATTTTCTCAGAAACATTCTTACAGTATAGCTATGGTGCTTTTTATTCTATTCTTCTGTAAATAACAAAATACTAATGACTGGTTGGAAGTGTCATTGAACATGCAGTAGCTGTTCTTTGGTTTACTCTTTTCTCCATTCCATTAAATAATAAACAGTCATGTATTGATAAGCATTTGCTGCATAACAAATCACCCCCACAACATAGTGCCTTAACAACTCTTTCTTTAGCTTATGATTTCTGAGGGTAGACAATTGAGCTGGGCTCAGCTGGGTGATTGTTCTGCTGGTCTCACCTGGGCTCACTCACTTTTCCATAGCTAGCTGTGATGGGCTGGGCAGCCAGAGGCTGCTGGCTGCAGTAACAGAGGTGACTGCATCACCCAGCAGTCACCCATCCTGTCCCAGGCTTCATCGTGTGGCAGCCAGAGAGGTGGAGCCCACTGTGCAAGGGCTTGTCAAGTATGTGCCTGTGTCCTGCATGTTACTATCTCATTGACCAGAGCAAGTCACACAGCCAAGCTCAGTCAGTGTGGAAAGGATTGCTTAAGGTCACGATATAGGGAAGTGATAACAAATTGGGTGCCAGTACTGCAACCACAGAGCCAAAAACCATAGACTTTTGGCATCATTTTTTTTTTCAGATCATCTAATTGAACAGAATGACAACTACTGAAACAAAAGAACAGTGAATATTGATCTGAGCTCTTTCTAGAAGGCAGTTCTACTCAGAAAAAAAAGAAAAAATTGTGATTTTTAACTTCTTTGAGTATTGCATAGCTTCACTTGGTTTATAGCGAATGGATGCTGTTTCGCAGAGAGTGCCGTTTTCAGAAAGCCACTGCCCTGGTTCGGAGTGGGGCCTTCTCATTGTCCTGGGTCGGAGCAGGGCCCCCTCGTTGCCCTGGTTCTGAGCGGGGCTTCCCTTGCT